ACATTCATCTGCCTTTCTATCATCTTAAGCTCGTCGCAAACCGCATCAGCAAGAATTCCCGCCATGTTTCGCTCCACAGCCGTCAAGGCCGCCAACAGCGGCATGCGCTCCGCCTGCACAAGATCCATCTCCCTCGCTTCCGGCGCCAGAAATGTGTCTTTCCGCAGTTCGAAACTCGGCTTGACCACTCGCCGTCCTCTGGCGGTGGTCAACAGCAAACGTCACTACGCCCAGTCCGCTGAGGGCGTTGATGCCAACGATTCTTTCCTCTCTGGAAACACCGCCAACTATGTCGATGAGATGTACCTGGCATGGAAGAACGACCCCTCCAGCGTTCACATCTCATGGCAAACGTATTTCAAGAACATGGAGGAAGGAAAGATGCCCGTTTCTCAGGCCTTCCAGCCCCCTCCCACGCTCGTTCCCACCCCTACGGGCGGTGTCCCTCAAAACATGCCCGGTGAGGGTCTTAGCTTCGCCGCTGGTACCGATGTCACGAATCACTTGAAGGTTCAGCTTTTGGTCCGTGCCTACCAGGCTCGTGGTCACCACAAGGCCAAGATTGATCCTCTTGGTATCCGTGGTGAGGCCGAGGCTTTCGGCTACAACAAGCCTAAGGAGCTCGAGCTCGACCACTACGGTTTCACGGAGCGTGATCTCGACGAGGAGTTCACTCTTGGACCCGGTATCCTGCCCCGCTTTGCTACTGAGAGCCGCAAGAAGATGACTCTGCGCGAGATTATCGCTACCTGCGAGAAGATCTACTGCGGGTCTTACGGTGTTGAGTACATCCACATCCCCGACCGTAAGCCTTGCGACTGGATTCGTGACCGCTTCGAGGTCCCCGAGCCCTACAAGTACTCCGTCGATGACAAGCGCCGTATCCTCGACCGCTTGATCTGGTCTCACAGTTTCGAGTCCTTCCTTGCCACCAAGTTCCCCAACGATAAGCGTTTCGGTCTGGAGGGTTGCGAAACCCTGGTGCCCGGTATGAAGGCCTTGATCGACCGCAGTGTCGATTACGGTATCAAGGACATTGTCATTGGTATGCCCCACCGTGGTCGTCTGAACGTCCTCTCCAACGTCGTCCGTAAGCCCAACGAGTCCATCTTCAGCGAATTCGCTGGTTCAGCCGAGCCGTCCGACGAGGGCTCCGGTGATGTCAAGTACCACCTGGGTATGAACTTCGAGCGCCCGACCCCCTCGGGTAAGCGCGTGCAGCTTTCCCTGGTCGCCAACCCCTCCCACTTGGAGGCTGAGGACCCCGTCGTCCTCGGAAAGACCCGCTCGATCCAGCACTACAACAAGGACGAGACCAACTTCGACTCCGCCATGGGTGTCCTCCTCCACGGTGATGCTGCCTTTGCTGGTCAGGGTGTCGTCTACGAGACCATGGGCTTCCACTCTCTCCCTGCCTACTCCACCGGTGGTACCATTCACATCATTGTGAACAACCAGATTGGTTTCACCACCGATCCCCGTTACTCTCGTTCCACCCCCTACTGCTCCGACATCGCCAAGTCCATCGATGCTCCCGTCTTCCACGTCAACGCCGATGATGTTGAGGCTGTCAACTACGTCTGCCAGGTCGCCGCTGACTGGCGCGCCGAGTTCAAGAGCGATGTTGTCATCGACATTGTCTGCTACCGTAAGCAGGGTCACAACGAGACCGACCAGCCTTCCTTCACCCAGCCCCTGATGTACAAGCGCATTGCTCAGCAGAAGGCTCAGCTCGACAAGTACGTCGAGAAGCTCATCGCCGAGGGTACCTTCACTAAGGAGGACATTGACGAGCACAAGAAGTGGGTCTGGGGCATGCTCAACGACAGCTTCGACCGCAGCAAGGACTACCAGCCCACCGGCAAGGAGTGGCTCACTTCTGCCTGGAACGGCTTCAAGACCCCCAAGGAGCTGGCCAACGAGGTTCTGCCTCACCTCCCCACCGGTGTTGACACCTCTCTCCTGCAGCACATTGCTGGCAAGATCAGCGGTGCTCCTGAGGGCTTCACTCTCCACCGCAACCTCAAGCGTATTCTGGCCAACCGCAAGAAGACCGTCGATGAGGGCAAGAACATTGACTGGGCTACTGCTGAGGCTCTTGCCTTCGGCTCTCTCGTGTCTGAGGGCTACCATGTCCGTGTTTCCGGTCAGGACGTTGAGCGTGGTACTTTCTCCCAGCGCCACGCTGTTCTCCACGACCAGGAGAACGAGACTACCTACACCCCTCTCCGGGACATTTCCGAGAAGCAAGGTAGCTTTGTCATCTCCAACTCCTCCCTCAGTGAATTCGGATGGTAAGTTCTTGCCTGGATAATACAAGTTGCAGTCTCCTACTCATGCTAATCTGTCTGCAGTCTGGGTTTCGAATACGGTTACTCCCTGACCTCCCCCAACGCTCTGGTCATGTGGGAGGCCCAGTTCGGTGACTTCGCCAACAACGCTCAGGTCATCATCGATCAGTTCATCGCTTCCGGCGAGTCCAAGTGGCTCCAGCGCTCTGGTCTCGTCGTGTCTCTGCCCCACGGTTACGACGGTCAGGGTCCCGAGCACTCTTCCGGTAGAATGGAACGCTGGCTGCAGCTTTGCAACGAGGAGCCCCGTATCTTCCCCTCCGCGGATAAGCTTGACCGCCAGCACCAGGACTGCAACATGCAGATTGCTTGCATGACCAGCCCTGCCAACCTGTTCCACATCCTGCGTCGCCAGATCCACCGTCAATTCCGCAAGCGTATGTTCTCCTTGCCTTCTGTTATCCTGTTTCCAAACTGACTCTAGTCACAGCTCTTGTGCTCTTCTTCTCCAAGTCCCTCCTCCGTCACCCCATTGCCCGCTCTGATATCGAGAACTTCACTGGCGATTCCCACTTCCAGTGGATCATTCCCGATGAGGGCCACGGCAAGGAGATCGACGAGCCTGAGAAGATCGAGCGTGTTATCCTGTGCTCTGGCCAGGTGTACGCCGCTCTTCAGAAGCACCGTGAGGCCAACAACATCCGCAACACCGCCATCACCCGCATCGAGCAGCTGCACCCCTTCCCTTGGGCTCAGCTGAAGGAGAACCTCGACAGCTACCCCAACGCCCGCAACATCGTCTGGTGCCAGGAGGAGCCCCTGAACGCCGGTGCCTGGAGCTACACTCAGCCTCGTATCGAGACCTTGTTGAACCAGACCGAGCACCACAACCGCCGCCACGTCCTCTACGCCGGTCGTGCCCCGAGTGCCTCTGTGGCCACTGGTCTCAAGTCCGTTCACTTGAAGGAGGAGCAGGAGTTCCTCGAGGATGCCTTCAGCGTCCACCAGGAGCGCCTGAAGGGCGAGTAGAGTGGGGTTTTTTGGGACATCTTTTTCTGGGTTTGGCGGAAGGAGCTAGTTTTGTGTCAACTCATTTAGGTCTTCACTGTATGGTTTTCTTTTCCTTTGTCTACAAAGCATAGTGTACGATGGTTTATACAACAAGTCCTGCTTGCGTGTGTCGGAGCTCTGGTGTGTCGTTCTTGCACATGTTAGATGGTCTGGCCTGCCGATACCTTGCATGTGTTTAGCGCACGCGTGTAACTTAAGACATTGATATGATTTTCTCTGTTTAGTTCTTTCGCAGCAGCGTACGTGTTTGGTATGTGAGACTTGGTGGTTGTCGTAGGTATTGGCACGGGTCGTGTACACTGATGGCTCGGGGGTGTTGTCGTTGCTGTACGGTGTCTCGTCGATGACCGAGCGAATAAAAAAAAAACACGGGAACCTTTAAAGAATAAACCAACGACGGGTGTTGAAGGTCGGAAAGATAAGCAGCAAAAAATGGAGCTGCGGGGAATCGAACCCCGGACCTCTCCCATGCTAAGGGAATATTATACCACTAAACCACAGCCCCGATTGTTAAAAACTATTATCTGACTTTGGTCTGTCGTTTGGTATGTCGTGTAGATAATCACTGAGAAGGTTGAAATTGCCCAGCCGGTATGCATGCACCCCTCGATCCGGGCAGGTGATGTCATTTTCTGTGTTGACACCCGGCTCTGACTAAGGAATGTCGATGCCTGAGGGCCCAGGCGTCAATCACCTGATGGGGCTCATTCCTTCTCCGCACCGCAAGCCAGCACTTCAACTTACTTATCTTCGGCGCTACAACTTCTCCTGCTTTTCTCATGCCTGTTGCGCCTATGGTGATTTTCGTGGGTTATAGCATCAGCAGTGCTGTCTCCGTCTAAGATCTACTTCCAGCTGGGTCAATTCACTATTCCAGCTGGATTGTGTTGTTTCACTGAGGTGGAAGACGCAAATCCTCTTCTTCTCTTATCCTCATTTCTCCTCCCTCCACTTTTCCTCTCTCTCTCTTTTCCTCTGTCTTTACTTTCTAATTCTCTCTCTCTCTCTCCTTCTTTCCCACTTCCCACAAAAGCCTCTCTATTCTCTCCCAAAGATTCTCACGAGAAATCCACCAAAATGACCACCACACTCCCACCCAACCTCCCAGCCAGCACCTCCTCCACAACCCACCCCAATCCCACAACCGCAACCGCAGCCACGGCAACCACCACCACAACGACGACAACCACCACCACCACCACCACAAAACCCCGACAAACGCGCACCAACCCCTCGCGCACCTCCAAGACACAATCCCGGTCCTCCTTCGCCTTCGGCCACGGCACCACCACCACCGGCGGCGGCTCCTCCGGTCTCCACCACCGCTCCTCTGCCGCCGACCACGCCGCGGCCAACGCGACCACCCCGATCCCGCATGGCTTCTACCCGGCTCTCACGCACTTCACCGACGCCATCACGGCGCTGCCGCGGGAGTTCCGGCGGCATAATTCCCTGCTCAAGGAGGTGGACGCCAAGGCGTGGGCGCTGGAGGAGAATCTGTTGCAGTTGTTGAAGGCGAGTGCGGAGGCGCGGCCGGTTTCTGGGTCGGGGTCGGGGTTTGGGTTTGGGTTGGTTGAGAATGGGTCAGGGGATCGCGGGCGGAGTCTTGGGGAGGGAGACGGGGAGGGGGTGGATGGTGATGGTTTGGGGTTGGGGCTGGGGATTGGGTCGATGGTATGTTTTCCCCCCCTTACAAAATCTATCTGCACTGCTACTGCAAATACGGGCCATCGGGATGGTTTATCTTTATTTTTTCGTGGGTCACGATGCTAATTAAACCCGGGATAACAACAACAGCCCCCCTCGGAATCCCCCGCCAGCAAGAATCGTCGCCTCCTCTTCGACCGTGTCCGGCACACGCTGTCGGATCTGATGATGACCGCAGATGAGAAGAATCATGTCATTTCGAATGCGAACGACGAGCTTGATCGCCAGCTTACCCGCCTCGATGCCGTCTTCCCCTTCATCGCGGGCGAGGTCAGCGACGAGGCCCGCCTGGGCAGCTTGTCGCATTGGGCCTATTCGAATCGCTTGGTGGGTATCGGCGCTGGTAGCGCGAAGACGACGGACCGTCCCAGGCGCGATGCTACGGGGTCCGGCAAGACGGAATTGGCGCATGGGCATGGGCATTCGCATGGGCATGGGGCCCATGGGCATGGAGCTGGCCATGATGCGGAGGGTTCCTCGCGGAGTGAGGCTAGACGCGAGGCGGCTATGGCTAGGAGGCAGCGGCGGGGCGGCGCGGGGGCTGGGCAAGGGCCGGCCCATGTGGATTCGGATTTGGATGATGGAGCGAGGGGATCTGGCGGGGCTGCTGCTGGTGGAGGTGGTGGTGGCAGGAAGGGAGGACAGAGTGGCAAGGCTAGAGGCGGTGCAGGAGGAGGCGCCGCTGCCGCTGCTGGTGCCGGAGGCCAGGCTGGTGAGCATGTCGGTGGTGCTGGGCAGGGTGGCAGTACCTCCGGTCAGGCGAAGCGGAGGAAGGTCGAGAGGCCGCCGCCTGTGGATACGGGCGCTGCGATGGAGAGGTCAGCGAGCGGCGCAGGCGGTGCTGCAGGTGGTGCTGCAGGCCGGGCTGGCTCCAAGGATGTAGATGCTACTGGTGCTGGTGCTGGCGGTGCGGGGGGTGCCACTAAGAAGAGATCGCGTGCGCCGAATGCCAACGCGGCTTCACGAAAGAGGTAAGGTTGCGAATGTCTGGGGGTTTTCGTCTGATCATGCAGTTGCAAAAGAAAACAAAGTCTTCTTTGTTGCTGTGATTGTTGTTACACGAGCTGATACTGACTTCTTGGTGACCAAATAGAAACAACCAAGGTAACTCGGCGGCCGATTCGCCAATTTTCGCCCCTTCGCCGGTTGTCGCTGCAGCCACGATCCCACGCAACGCAGCCAGTCCAGGCCCCGGTGCGGCACGACCGCAGTCTTCCCGTGCGCAGCAGACTGCCGGACCGGCAAACAACGGCCGTCAGCGCCCATCGTCATCCGCCTCCAATCGTGTGGCCGGGAACAGTGAGTTTTCTTTCAGACTCTCGGCTGCGATTGCTGCAGTCTCAACTGACATATTCCTGTCACAGACAAAACAACCGAGACGAAGACCGTCATCAAAGAAAGCACAGCCAAACCGCAAGCCACCCCCAGCTCGGCCAACGAAACCCCGCGCGAGATGGCCGACGAGGGCGTGGACGTGGCAAAGATGCCTGTGCCAATAAGCACGAAGCGCGAGGACACCGACGGCGGCAAGCCAACACCATCCATCGAACCCAGCGAAACACCAGCGTCGCCGCCGGCTACCGCTACTACCGCTGCTGCGAATGCTGCTAGTGCTTCGGCGCCTGCACCTGCCCCGGTTTTGATCCCGAACCCGCCACCCAAGGGCCGATCTTCCAAGACCTCCACCCCCGTGCTGCCGACGTTCACAGAATCGTCCACCAGCGCTGCTGCTACTGCTGCTGCTGCCGCCGCCGCCACCGCCACGACAACGACGCAGCGTGTGCGCCCAACTCGAAGCACCGATCTCGCTCCCGCCGCCACCACCACGACTACCACGAAACGCTCGCACAAGAAGAACGGCAGCGTGCCGGTGGTGGTGCCGCAGCGGGCGGTGTCGGAGGAGGAATCCCTGCACGAGGGCGACGACGAGGACGAGGACGGCGAGCCGCGGTACTGCTACTGCAATGAGATCAGCTTCGGTGAGATGGTGGCGTGTGACAACGATGCCTGTCCGCGCGAGTGGTTCCATCTGTCGTGTGTGGGGTTGACGAAACCGCCTGGCAAGAACGGTATGTTTTTTCATTTTTGACTTGATTTGATCTCGGCTAACATTTTTGGCGACAGTGAAATGGTATTGTAACGAGTGCAAGGATAGCATGCGACGGAGTCGTAGTGGGCGTTGAAGAGAGCTGTTTTGCTGTGGTTGGATGGAGCGAGTTGGACAGGACAGGACATTGGAGTTCAGGGGGAGTTTTTCATCCATGGACAGATAGAAGTATTCGATATGGTATATACTTTGGAATAGGATTTGTGGCTTAGGTGTTGGTTCTCATCTACTGTTTTTATGGATGAGGTTGGTCGGTTGCTAGAAAGTGTGATCCCCAGACGGTACGCAGACAATGTGGACGTTCGGAAACTGTCATTGAAACTACCTGTTATTCTTTCCCCCGATCAATTTCAGTTCAAAGTCAACGACACATAAAGAACAGTGCTAGGCCGCAGGATCTTGAAATCTCATACACACAGTCGATCATTGGCTTGGTATTGGCAGCCAGAAATCAAGGTAGGGCAGATCTCAACAATCCCAGATAGAAACCAGCCAGGAAAGAGAGTATCGTCGGACTGAAAGGCAGCTTCGGGAGTAATACTTTCAGCTCTTCCCAGATTTCAGGTGCTCCAATGTGAAAGAAAACAGACTGGTGTATGTAATCTTGTTGTTTGGGTGGTCGGTATGTGTATACCGGTCCCGTGCCTCGATAGTTGTTATTTGTGCTTCTGCTTGCTCACATTAACTTGTACATTGTCTGGGCGTAAGTGGACTCTGAAAGGAAGGAAACAAAGAAACAAAGAAACAAAGCAATATGGTCGAGTGGGCTTGTTTTCCCACACCCACTCGCTTTCTGACTCATGCCCATGCCCAAGTCTGCTATACTTACAATGGCGTCGCGTTTAGTATAGATCTGTGGGGAGATGAAGAGCGAAAGCGAAAGCTTTTAGCACATCCTTTCATGTTGCTCAAGCTTTCATCTCATCAGGGTCATCAACCGGCTGTCCACGTGAGAGACTCGGGGCATCGAGACGTGCCCGCCGGTCTGGGCCTCGCAGGAAAGATGAACCCGTTTTCGAGGTCGGTTGGTCTAGAAATGGGGAGGAACTCCAGAAATAGATAGGCCTTCCTTCTAGTAGTAGGAAACGCTGGTTATAGGCGGTCTACGGAGGAGTCCCAGGCAGGTACGGAGGGAGTACTTATGACCTATCTACATACATACCCTTTCCCCGGAACTTTTCGGTGCCTCCCGCCTCTTCCTCCCCCTAGTCCAGGCCCAAAGAAAAAGAAAGCAAGCATTCAACTAAAATCAAATGGCTGCGCAACATGGAAACAATGACCTTGAAGAATTCAGGGCGGCCCTTGACGTAGTGCTGACGCTTAGGATCGAATGTCCTACGCTGGTGTCCAACGCGGCGCTGGCTATATTGTCCGGGAAGGGACTCGAATGGGCATGCCAGTTGGCTTGTAGGAAGGTGTACACCTTTGGAAGCAACTTTCAGGACCTCCGCCCTCGGTGATCTCAAGAGGAGGGAGGTATCTGGCTGTAACTGAAGTTCCAAGCTCGCAGGTTTTAAGAGTAAGTGTAAGCCTGGGGACTCCTTCTTCCTGGTGGTCTCTTTCCTAGACTCTTTCTTACCCCGACCTTCCGTCCTCTCTGATCGTCTTCTTTCTTGTTTCAGAATCGACGAGGGTAGGCGCTGGTTGATTGGAGGGCTTGTCGGTGTCGTGCTTTGCTTGGGGGGTTTACTGGCCGGGGGCATGGGTACTTTGCCTGTTAACTTATAGACTAGTGACGCTGTAGTTGACTGCCTGCCTGTCAGACCCCCGTCGACGACAGATTCCAAGCCGAGGCAGCTGCTAGAGGTATATGGTTGGCTAGTTGGCTAGTTGACTGGCACTTGGACAGGCAATCAATGGGTGAGAATTCTAGTAGAATACAAATACAAGTGACCTTTCCATTCGATTTGCGGAGTAGTCTCGGTAGACGTGTCATGTGTTTGAAACATGCATCGATATATGCAAAGCATAATACAGTACTAAGCTTGTTGCGGCCAGAGAATGTGTAATGATGTTTTTAGGTTGGTTGCAGTTTAACTACTAACAATACGGAAGTAAAAAGGCTGGTTAATTTACCCACCCGTTGCTTGAACCAGGGCTATTTTTACCACTGGCTCGTAGTGGCAAAATCCCGCCGCTTCTCCAACCAATGTCTTCATGGTGTAGTGGTTATCACGTGGGTCTCATATCAACTCGAATATGACTTGGAAGCCGTCAACTTCCAGGATATCCCAAGGCCGGGAGTTCGATCCTCCCTGAGGACATGTGTTTTTGTTTTTGCGTTTTGTTTTGTCTTGTGATAACAGGCATGGATTCGTGGGGGTTGGATTGACTATGTGCGTCTTACCCACTATATTTAGATACCTCGTGCTTTAGACACTTAGGGCAGCAACTTGAGAAGAGTCTTGTTGTATCCCGGAGTAGATAGTTTAGCACGATTGAAGTCTCATACATGACCCTCAGAGAATCCCAGATCAAATCCCATCATGCAGCATCAAACGCCCAGAGAGATGGAGGAGTGTTAAGCCCCCACCCCGCGTCTCAACCGCTGCGCAGCGCCAGCGCCAGCCCCTTCTATCCCAGCGCCAGCGCCAGCCCCCTCCGACCCCGAAGCAGCAACAACCTCCCCCTCCAACCTCCGCCGCAACTCCTCATACCGCTCCCCGCCGGACCCAGCGCCCTCCTCACCCCCTCCCCCTCCCCCTCTTACCCCCGCACGGTTTCGGTCGGCCTGCCCAACCACCCACCCCGGCATCCGCCACCGATACCCGCCCGGCACAAAGAACAGCGGCAGCGCCTCCGTCCGCCACGCCAGCCCGACCCCCCATCCGACCACGGCCGGCAGGAGCATAGTCGGGAACTGCGAGGCGGCGAGCTGCGCCGCGACGAGGTAGGTGGTCGATTTGTCGGAGAGCGTGAGCGTGACGTTTGATTTGGGGGGGTGTGCGTCCGTCGGCGGGGGTTGCTGTGCTGCTGACGCCGGAGGACTAGGGTTGCTTGACGCCGTGGAAAGACAATACCGCACCGTCGGCGGGATCGCCGCGTGATACTGCGCCAGTACCGCGAAGAGCGTGGCCGTGGGCCCCGACGGAAGCGCATTCAGCTTCGAGAGCGTGAGAGGGCGCAGGAGGAGGAGGAGGAGCGGCGGGAGGAGCGTCGTGTAGGGTAGGGTGGTTAGGAGGAAGGTCTATTCCATTTTGCCATCACTCGTTAGCACATAGCACATGTCACATTCCATTATAGCTCAAGCTATGAGAAAAACCGTAATCCAAAGTGCTAGGGGGGAGTTGAAGGTCGCGTACACCCATCTTCCGCGTCCCCCACGCCCGCTCCACCACCCGCAGATGGTAGGCCAGCATCGCCGCGAACAGCGCCTCCGTCGAGTTGCCGAACCCCGCCACCTGCCACGCCGCCAGGCGCCAGTACTGGCCGTACGGCCACAGGTGCGGCGTGATTTGAAACAAAGCGAGGTGCTTGATGTCGAAGATCGCGAGCGCGACGGAGGCGCCGATCGTGTAGATGAGGAGCGCCTTGGAGATGGGCGCGTTGGTTAGGCCGGAGGTTAGCATTTTGGGTCTCCGTGCGGTCTGGCTCTGTGGGTGTGGGTGACGGTCTGGATATGTTGGCGATTTCCCAGTTCGCTGTTATCTAAGGATGTAAGGACGATGGTTTAGAGCATGAGGGGTGGTGTGGGTGTTGTTGCGAGTTGATGTCGCGTGGTTGCGGAGCGGATTGCGGATCGCGGATGGCGGAAGTGAGGTTGGCCACTGCACCTGCCACGTCGCGCCAATGAAGGAGTGCGGGCCGAGGCTTATGTCTCTCGGCATGCCGATAAGCTACTAGTACCTAGTAATCTTTGCTTCATACTCATTCAGACAGAAGGGCAATTGAGGAGCTATATTTCACATCATTTTTATGTCTAGTTCTATCATACATGGTTCCCTCCAATTCCAAGCTCACGCGGGAGGCATCTCCTTCATTTCCTCGGCTAACGCGTCCTTATACTTCGTCAGCGCCGTTTCCAATGCGCGGATCGTCGGCCCCAATAATCGGGTCACGGCCTGCTCCCCGCCAGCGACATTCGTCAAGTTGATCCGCAATTTCTTGCCCGTCGCCTCCAGCACCTCTCGGGCGTGTCGCCGCAGTCGGTTCATTTCCACCTGTCGCTCCGCCTCTGCGTCTTGCTGCACGGCCTTGATGCGGTCCATGGCCCGGTTGAGCGATTCGACCAACGAGGCCACTTCCCCCGCACGGTCGGGGTTCCCCGAGAGGAATGCTTGCCAGAACTGGTGCAAGAATTCGGTCGAGGTCGCATGCGTCAGCGTGAGTCGATCGTACAGCGCACTCGACAGGCCGAATGTGCCGGAGATCGCTGACACCTCGGTCTGCGTGCGGCGGTCCCGGATGGCCTCGAGGATCTGACTTGATGCACGTTTTAAGTTGGCTCGGGAGCCCACCTGGCTGGCCTGCTTGGTTTCATCGCCGTCATCGTCCTCCTCGGGTTCCACTAGGCGCCCCAGAGGCACGATTCCACCCTCTGGCAGGTTTTGGTCAACCTCACCACGCAAGTTGTCCAGGATCTGCTTTGGATCCTGCTGCGCGAATAGCCGACTCTCCTCATCCTCATCCGTCTTGGATTGCGACGAGAAAAAGCGGCTCTGGTCCTTCACATTCAGCAGGATGCGCCGTTGCTCCTCGTCGCCCCGCAGATCCCGCAGCTGCAGCTCGTTGTACGTATCATCCTCCGCGTCGCCATTCGCTTGCGGGATCGCATCGGCCGGCGCGACGTTCGCCATAATCTTCTCACTCAGGTTGTTCAGCGTCCGGATGATCGGGACCTTGTCCACGGAGGACGGTCGCATGTCGAGATCGGGGCGATTGCCGCGCCGCTGGCTGTGATTGACCTCGTTGCCTGCCAAATCCAAAAAGTGCGGGACCTGCGCATCCCGCAGATTCCCATGCTCGTCGGCCTTGAGATACTTATCCAAAATTGCATCCGTCGCATCCGTCTCGGAGATCCGCTCGCCGCGCAGCTTCTTGAACAGCCGGCTCTGGAAGAAGCGCGACCAGAACTGCGTCTCGCTCAGCTTGGGCACATTCTCGTCGTACACCTGCTTCACGAGCGGGTGCTGGTTGAAGATCAGCTGGATCTGCTCCTTGCTAATGTTGAGCTTCGTCACACTGTCCTCCACCCGCGGCTTGAGCGTCGACAGCACGTTGTAGGAGCCGCGCGTCTGCGATCGCTCGATCGCGTGGGCGCGCAGCAGGTGCAGCCGTGTCGACCAGAACTGCTTCATGAACTGGCCCGCGGAGAGCGTCTCGGGCTTGGTGCCCATCGACTCCATGAACATGCGCTGCAGCTGCGGGTTCGACTTGAGCAGCGACTGCTGCAGCTCCATGTCGCCCTGGAGTCGCTTGTCATCGTCCCACGGCTTCTCGTAGCTCCCTCCGGCCGTGATCGCATTCGCCATCGCCATCGCCGCGGAGACGCCTTCGTTGGAGCCTCCGCCGGCGCTGCCAGCAGCAGCAGCAGCAGCTACAGAAGGGGTGGGCGCGGCCTGAGCGGCCTTCGCAGCCTGAATGGCCGCACTGAGCGCATCTTTGATGGCGTCCGCCTCGGCTCGCGCATTCGCTCCGGCTGTGAAGTTGAAAACGTACTGTTCGGGGGTGTTGTCCGGTGCGTTCGGAGGGAGGACGTGAATCTTCAGCATTACTTTGGGGCTAGTCGCGGGGGTCTGTTGTAAATCTATTTCCATTTTTTTTTCGTCATGTCATTAGTCTGTCTGAGCGAAGAAGAATAGCTGGAGAAGAGCAAAATTGGGCGGTCGCGTTCTAAACAAAGCTGCGAAAATACAAAAAGAAAACCCACGCACTCGTTATCTGAGCCACCGAGATCGTGATCGTCCCCGTCGCACCTCCAGCCGCCGGGATCCAGGAGACCGACTGCTGGTCCGGCGACATGGTCAGGGTGCCATCTTTCTTCTTGTACACTGCCGACCCGCTCGGAGGGGCCATCGTCATCGAGCTCGACAGCGTCCACTGTCCTGGGCGGCGTCGAGGGATTCGCCCATCGGGAGGAGACAGTCCCACGGGAGAATCAGAAGGACCGGTGCCTTCAAGACCAAGACAAGATTGTCTTTTCGCGGGGAAAGGTCAAGAGACAAACAGAGGTGGAAATTGTGGGAAAAGGTGTGAATCGACCTACGACGGGTTGCCGCAATGGATTGATTGCTGCCGATGCACGTGATGATGGATGTGAGAGGCAGGTGACTTGGCTTAGTCATGGGCTGCACCAGCCCTAGATATCTAGATCTCAAGGGTTATGGAGCATCAGGGGTTTCACGCGCGAATTCTCTGTTTTTGGGCAATTGATTTCAGTTATGTCTTCATCTCTGGTGAGATGGATCTTGCTGTGGCGTCATGATGTGGCACCAACTCTGTCACGATCGAAGCTACTGATCTTGGTCTATCCGTTTGAGCTCTAGATAAATATACAACCTGTCGGAATTGAAGTAACTTACACATTTCTGAACCTGCTCCTGCTACTCGTCACCAGTCACGAACTCGGAGGCACCATACCAACTGTATCTCACTACAAGAGAGATAGATGCAAAGTATGCATTGCAGCAGCGACAATCTTCATATGGGCATTCGTGAGATAACCCTCCCAGAAGCGTCGCTCCGTCAGAGAAAACGGAGACTCCAAAAAGCCTTTAGATAAGATGTCTTAGCAATTGCAACAGACCGTCACTGTTCATAGCGCTTCAGAGCGTTAGTTCTGGCAAAGCATAGTTTGCGGCTCACAGATCGGAGCGATAACGTTATTAGACCTGTAGTATTGCAGGCCTGCATGTGTAGAAACCGTCGAATAATCTCCTACTCATGCTAGATGGTCCGTTGAGAGAATTATACGCGTATGGGCTATCCATAGTTCTGGATCGTAAGAAGTCAACTCAAAAGTGGTCAGAGATTGATCGCCTAGATGCGCGGTCGCATCCACCGCAGTTTCTTGAAAGAATGATGCACTTGAGATGCCCCGAAAATTGTATACTAGCTCGCTTATATGGCAGCCCTCTCATTGGTCCACCTTCCGGATAAGGTGTAAAGTCATGTGACCTCGCGGTTTGCGGGGACGCGTCGCAGTCTCGCTTGTCCACTGCCAAACCCTCCGCGTGAGCAGCCTATTCTTGAGTGCAGAAGATACCTGAAGATCGAAAATCCACGTCAAAATGTCCTACTATGATATCGATGCTATCCTAACAGATGCACAGGTAGGTTGGCGGAGAAGCCTGGTGTGTCCCTTCTAACCAACTGACGAGGGCAAATCTGATGTAGAAACTGCCCTGCACATTTGAGCTCGACGTGCCGGGTCTTGGCATTCTAGAAGGTAATCCGGGAGAGAATGTATGGAAACTTTCTTGACTTGAGTTCTGCATACTGGCTTGACTGACCATGCTACCCAGATCAAAGCCGGGACTCGCATTGACCTACCACTTTGGTTGGGGGAGATGCTGTCCATCGGGTAAGCGAATTTTGATGTCTACTTGTTGCCATTGATTGTGGCTGTTATCTGATGGGACCGCTCTCAGTGCACGGCTGGGTACCTCGCGACTGGTGACGCTGGATCTCCCATATGCATTATCGGATCGTGTCCTGAACGCATTGAAGGCCGATCCCCGGACGGTGGACTTGCGCTCGCTGGCGCCCCATTTCTACAGTCTGAGCGAACGGGTGCTGGAGCTGTTTGAGGAAGAGGAGATGGTGGATGTTCTGAGTAATGTATGACCATGCCCCCTCCGGGAGTGATGATGTTCAAGAGGGAGGAGGTTAACAGGATCGCTCATCGTCCGACAGACATTCAAAAAGCGTGCAGCGCAGATCGCCGACCATGCGCACAATCCGCAGGGCGCGTTGGGCCAAGGGGCGGATTTCCTGCGTGGTCTGGACGAGACGGAACGACAATGTACGTTAGGTCGACGGTGCCGTTGATTTACTGCGTAGCCTTCGGCTTTCCCTTCTTACTGACTTCGATTCCACCCAGTGTTCCGAGCTACGCATGACAGTGCCAAGGAGACCCGGGTCTGGGCCGGGGAGTCGAAGAAGAAATGAGTGAGCGGGTGGGTGAGGGTACACTAAAGAAGGCTGAGCTGTGCTCGCCGCCATATTAGAAGCGAATGCTTTTCTGTTTGTTGTTGTTTTCGAGCAATGTGATACGTTTTTTTAAGGGAGGGTTTGAAATCGGTAGATGGAAGATTTAGATCCGATCGCCACTTGTCATCAACTCAAGACTGTATGATCCATGTATAGATTCGACGATATGATATTCTGAAGGCAGCCAAGTGACGATAAGGGGGAGAGCTCACTCATAATGGTGGTGCTCAAACCTCGTTCGGGTGGGGAGCCCAACAGTTTTCTGGTGCTCACCCTTGAAGACCGAAATGATCGGGTCCCCAAGATCTATAAAAATAAGTAAGCGAGGCCGTGGAAGCACAATAGTCTGCCATGCAGATCTTCGCGACAATCCCAACGCTCCGGAGGCAATTCGCCCAGATGATCTGCTGCGGCTTTGGATCAGTCAGCTGGACAGGTAGTCAACTGTAAACTGCTAGTAGGAATGAGCGCGAAAAAGGAGCCCCGTTGGAGCCATCGGGATTTTGCGAACTTTGCGTAATGTGTTTGGAGTTGACCTTGGAACCGGATTCTCGATTTAGCGAGGTATAGACCACGTTCAGGCTAAC